ATTTAGGAGAGTCAAGAGTCAAAATTTAAAAAGCCCTGAAGAGGCTTTCATAGAGGTTCAGATGAAAGATACAAGTAAAAATGGATGGGTGAGAACTGCCACTAGGCTGGTTGTAAAACTATAGCATGTCCCTGGGTATCAGAAAACTAGAATGGTAATGTGTTCTCAAAGTAGACTAAACAATTACTTCCTTCAGGTCAGGGCATGAGCACAAAAAATATCAAATTTTAAAAGCTGATAAACTGACAAATTAGTCTTTTGAGTACTTACATGTTACCAAGAAAAAAGGGAAAAATTGATAAAACTGGATAAAATCTATTAACACTAAAAAGTGCACATGCCCTTTGACCTAACAACTTCAATGCTATGTATTCATCCTTTCTAAACACTCACTAAAGTATGTCAAAGTATACATAGAAATGATCACCATGGCATTGCTTGCAATATTTTCAAACCAGAAACATAAATACTCATCAACAGGAAACTGGTTAAACAAAAAAATGTATACAGCTATAAAATAAAACGAGGAACGAACTTTAAGATATATTGTGCTTGAAAAGATTCTATTTGTGTTAAAACACACATACTTTCTTATGTAAAATTTTCTCCTTTAATTTCAATTTTAGATTTGGGGTTACATATAGAGGTTTGTTACAAGTATATATTGCGTGATGTTGAAGTCTGGGCTTCTATTAGTCCTGTCAGCTAAGTACTGAGCATAGTGCCTGACAGGAAGTTTTTCAGCCCTTTCCGCCTTTCCTCTTTTCCCTCCTCCTGTTGGAGTCCCTATCATTCCCATCTTTGTGCCCAAGTGTATCTAAAGTTTAGCTCCCACTTACAAGTAAAAACATAATACTTGGTTTTCTGTTTCTGCATTGATTTGCTTACAATAGTGGCCTCCAGCTGCATCCACAATTTAGGACATAACTTAGTTCTTTTTATGGTTGTGTAGTATTCCACTGTGTGTAGTTTGCACATTTTCCTTATCTAGTTCTTGTTAATGGGAACCTAGATTGATTCCAAGTCTTTGCTGTTGAAAACATATGTACTTTTCTGATGCTGATATGGGTAAAATTTTTGAAAGAAAAATAGTAATATGAGCAGAAAGTTTTTCTTTTTTTAAGGATATAGTAAAACCTTGAGCAGTAGCTATCCTTTAAAGAGACTGGGGCAGTAAGGGGTAGGGAGATAATTTTACTTTTCTTCATATACTTTTCTGATTTACTTGATTTTTTTGAAACATAAATTGTATTTTACTTTTTAAAATTAAAAAAAAAAATCAATCTTTCTTTGAGCTAACTGGCAGAATAAACAAGAATGTACTGATATATCATTACTTGCTTTCTGAGTTTATGAACAATAACTCCACTGGTTCATTTACACACACATTATAGTTGAACACAGGTATACAACATTTATGTATATGGATAAAAATATATTTGAATACTGTCAAATGCAGTAGATAAAACCAATGCCTTTGATTAGAAAACAGCAGACAGAGTCCATACTCCTAAGTGATCTTCCATGGTAGAGTCAATGCTTAATATGTGATTAAAGAGTTTGAAAACTTTTCAACAGTGCTTGATGGATCCTAGCTGTCACTGCTTCACTGATCATGGTTTGTTCTCAAAAAGAGACAAGGATGGTTCTACTGCTTCCTAATGAGGCATCTTTAAGGCCTAATAAATTGTGCTGCCATTTACTGCTAAATGATAAGCGTCATTCCATTCCTAAAATATAATTTGTCCCCCCATTAACGCTCTGACAGCTCCTATGGAAAAGGCATTGTTCAAAAATAGATAGATACAACTTTCTTTTCTATGACAAGTTTATTTGACTTTTACTTTTATGCTCCAGGGGTTTATGCAATAAAACAGAAGTTATGCAGTGAAAGGGAAATACATCCTCATATATTCTTTTTAGAAATAGTAGACTTTGTTTTCTTAGCTACACTACATTCAAATAGCTCTTTCAAAGACAATTAATTATTCTGCCTTCACTTCAATCACCTACATCCACTGTGCTATAACTAAATCTCTCTAAATGTTATTTTTGCGGGGGGGGGGGGGGCGGTTTTTTTACATTGTTTACTGTATTTGTGCTGAACTATTTCTAACTTTAGGAATTCAAAATGTTTACCGTTTTCTACTTGTTTTTCAGTTGCAAATGTACTTCTAAAGGAAGTATTCTAATTGCCATTTACTGGGAAGTCAGAATAGTTTGCTTATTTTGCAAGTCAATACAGGAGAAAAACAGAAAGCCTGATTTTCCAATTTAGCTAAGGTTAAAACTCAGCAGGTCTATACACACAGAGCCAACCACTCACCCTTCTTGGGTCTGGCATTGTAATGTTAACAACAGAAACAAAAGAACAGAGGGAAGGAGAAAGAAGATTACCTGTCTCAACTAAATCTAGGACAGTGGTTCTTCTTTTTAAAGACCCACCTGGAGGGACACATACCAGGTTTAAAAGTACTATGTGAGGTCATTCCTAGTCATTTGCATTTTTCTACTCAACCAGGACTAGAAACAGAAAAGCTTTATTACTAAAAAGTGCTATCCTGAAACAAAAGTACATTAAACTACAAAGCAATGCTAATGCTGTGATACTCCCTAGAACATGGATCTTAACCTGCTGTGATGTCTGACTACGTAAAGGTAAAGTGGGGTAGGTCTGGAGAAGAGAGGTTCACAAGAAACAAAGCCCAAGATAGAATGCTGGGAAAATATAAATGAGGACCAACTAGGCTTGCCAGACTGAAAGGAGTCCACACCACAGAGGTCAACATCTGTGGAACGAAATCCTGTCTCACGGGTCTCTGAATGTAGCTGATGCTGATGGCCAGCAGGAAGGCAGAGATTACTAGGTCACTTTCTTGCAATGAAATCAAGGTTCCAGAAGCTCAAAGCATTAGTGATTTTCTTGGTAATTACCAACAACACACCAAAAACAGCATTTTAGAAGGGAGCACCAAGCCCTCTGGAACGCTTCTGAACTAGATTAAACTACTAGACTAACAATTAAACTAACTTCATATGGGACAGTTCTCTTGCTCAAACTTGAACAATCCTGCTCATTTCAGGAAAGCAATTTTAGCACAAGAGTGGAAACAAGAAATTTCTGAGCCTCAATTTCAGCTCAGATATCATGGTTGGCAGCCTCTTTTGACCTGAACTACAAAATCAGGATACCAACTACTTCCAAGAAATGTTAAAGGGGATTAAGATTATTAAATATTGTGAAGATGAAACGCACTAAGTCCCAGTATTGTATTATTTGCAGGTAGTTTAACAGCCTCTGTTTCTGTATCAGCAAACAAATTCCTACCATTTTATTCATCTAGACATTTCGATAACAGTCATTGCCATAGTACCTAAGTGCTTTTTACCAGACAACCCGTTGAAAGACTCCTGGCATCTTGTCAAAATGACATGCTGCTACTTCATATTATAGACTGTAAGAGCCTAAAAATTTAGAAAAGATGATTTTTCTTCAAATTGATCAATGCTATGCCTCATGAAAATAGTGTTTATTTTTTACAGCTGGGTAATAAATTGGTAAGCAAAATAGCTATAGAACATTGTGTTATGTTGTACAATCACAGATTGAACATTTTAAGTTCTACTTAAAAAATCAGCAGGTTTATTCCTAAGTACCACATATGCCTAAATATAAGGCAAAAATTTCCCCTGCTAAAATTAATCCCAGAAAAGAGGGCATCACATTACATTTGATTCTCACAAAGTCTCAGATCATGAAGTACGCTTCCCAATCACTTGACCTTGAGAAGCTGAGCACCATATAGGGAAGGCAGATTCTCCTGAAACAGCCATAATTATTACTAACTCTGGATGTTTGCTAAGGTCACTTGCAAAACTCAGTTTAAAAAGAAAAGAGTAAAAAAGTATTTCTGGGAGAAGGATCTCACAAATGCTGTGTCAAATGTCAAAATAAGTCATTTCAAGTTCATTCTAAAAAGCAATATGGTAAGCTGTTACATTACGGGGACCAGTTATATTCATTCAGAATGAATTGGGAATAGGAAAAAAGAAACTGACTTGTCTTAATATTATGTGTCTATGAGATAAAATTTGCAGGAACAATATCATACGTGAAGGTCAAAAATGCTTCAACTTACAAAGCTTGGGATGAAAATGAAGACAGTGTATTCTGTAAAACCATGCTAACAGATGACCCAAAAGTGAGCTAAGTGGAGATCAAGACGCTGATTCAAAATTCATAAGTAATTTGAATATTTCTTGATAGGTATGTATAGAAACAAAGCAATATTAATTTTATATGTGACTGTATACATTTTTGTGTAAATAAATGAAACCATCTTAAGTAAACATTTGACTTTTCTCCCATACCCCTCAAGGTTTACTTAGTCAAGCTGGGAAAAAATGTATTTTTTAAAAATTCTTAATTGAAAAATTGTGTATATTTTATGTTCGATACAGCTAGGCATATAGGCAGATAATTCTAGTAAATTCCATGATAACTTTTTGGTAGAGCAGTATGAATAACAAATTTCAAGAATCCTCTAGAAGTTTGGTTTTGTAATCATTCTGAAAACAAATTTTCCAAATGAAAAATGATTAAGAATTATAATAATTAAGACAAGGCCTATATATATATATAGAAAACATGGATCAGAACATACATCTAGGATCAGAAAATAAATTATGACACAGGTTTCTCTTTGAACTGAACTGAGCTTATCAATAACAAATCCACATAGAGTTCTAGCCAGTATTGCTGCAACACTGAACAACTCTAGAGGGCACAATTCCCATCACAGTCATCCTGGATTTGTGTATTGATGAGGATGGTTTTTTGGCAGATGGCAGGAAGGGGCACCTCCTTCTAACTGGCATGAAGATGCCCCTAAGCTCAGGCAGAACACCTTCTCCAGATGTAGAAATGCAAAAAAATGGACGAACAGTTTCTACATTAGGAGATGAGAAAGTAATCAAATTAATGACTAAAAAAAAGTTACCTTGTAGATCCCAAAGAACCCCAGGTCCCGCACAACAGAGAGGGCACTGACTCGCGGACCAGTGGTGATTTCTCCGGCCACTTGCAAACGGATCTTGACGATTTCTAAAGGATTTGTGAAAATCACCTGGGAGCCTCCAGCCTGAAGAGAATAAAAAAGATTTAGGATCAAAGCCAAGAAATGGTAAAGGTGGGTCAGGAAGAGATGAATGATTATTCTCAAGAAAGGTTAAGAATATTCTATCCTCAAGAGAATGTAGTTTCAGTCCTGTGCCATCAATCAAAATGGTTAGAGATTACAAGTATGAATCAAAATATAGTTACTGCCTAGGAAGAAGCCCTATCTCCTTAATGTGGGGGCTGAAAGAGGGCAAAGACCAGAGATTTCCGTTGACCTCCCTGAGTCCTCACACTGAAATGACAAACACTCCTTGAAGCACAAACAACTTCCACGACATGGCTCAAAGCCAAGGGCACAAAGGCAGTAATAAAATGAAAAGCATTCATATCCAAATGAGACACAGATCTGCCTCTCAGAATAGAAGGGGGACTAGGAGGACAAAGGTCTTGAATGATGGATGTCATGAGTCTGGCAATGATTCAAAAACTGCCAGAGAACATGTAAACTTAGATGAAAGCTCTTATTTTTTTCCTCTTAAAAACTCAAATCGATCATCAAATCTCATTTTATGGAGTTGCAAATTCTTATAATTTTATTTATGTATTACTTGTGTATAGAATTGCTCTTTTCATATGAGATAAATGGTATGTGAAAGTAGCAAAACTACGCACTACATCAATTACCACCCAAACTTTGAACATCATGTGTTATTTCATTCCAACAATGGCTGGATGCCTTACCTTCAAGATCATCAGTGAAATCTTTAAAGTACACTATATGGGAAATTTTAAGATAGCCATTTTGAAGCTAAGCCTATATTTATCATAAGCAATTACATTCCTTCTTACTGTACTTCAACTTGTTATTCCTTGTCACAGATATATGAAATTTTTACATCATCCAAACTATACTTTACTAATTAGAACTAGCTACAAGAATGGCCTTTGAAATATTAGTTTTAATAGCTGGAAAGAAAAATTAGAAACAACATAAATATCTGATGATTAGGGATGGGTTAAATGAATTTAAGTATGCTCATGTATAAAGATACTATGCAGTCAACAGTGAAAAGTGTTCAATATATACTTTTAAGTAAAAGTTCTCATATATTTAAAATGCTGGTACACATTTCCCTTGCAGTCCCTTACCATCATGTGGAAGAAATACACCAAAATAGTGCTTCTGAAGTGGTAGAATTACAAATATCTTTCTTTTCCTTTTTTTTTTTTTTTTTGTTGTATTTAAAATTTTTTCTATATAGATCATGTGTTACTCTCATAAAGAAAAATAAGGCTGGGCAGGGTGACTCACACCTGTAATACAAGCACTTTGGGAGACAGAGGTAGGCGGATCACCTGAGGTCAGGAGTTCGAGACCAGACTGATTAACATGGTGAAACCCTGTCTCTACTAAAAATACAAAAATTAGACAGGTGTAGGTGGCGCCTGTAAACCCAGCTACTCGGGAGGCTGAGGCAGGAGAATCGCTTGAACCTGGAAGGCGAAGGTTGCAGTGAGCTGAGATTGCGCCATAGCACTCCAGCCTGGGCAATAGAGTGAGACTCTGTCTTGATAAAATAAAATAAAACAGACAAATAAACACTTGTACACAGTTTAACTAATATGTATAATGTTAATGAAAAGAATCAAAGAAAGATGTTCATTCATTAACTCTCTAAATCAAATTGTTTTTGCACGTTTTACCAACTTGATACCTTAATCAAGACACTCTTGTTCTTCCTTAAGTGCAAATGAACTTTTTTTGGTGAGGGGGGAACAACACAAAATCAAATCCTAGGCTGGATTCACTGAAAGGCCCAAGAAAGGGTCTTACTCTAGGAAGTAAGTAAGGCCTTACTCTAGGAAGCAGAGTATGAGATGACACACAGTGGCTGGTGCATTCGGGTCCACATAAAGACGTGCTGCTCCCTTCCCTACTGCTCAGAACAGGTCCACTTTGCTCAGACACTGCTGCTGCAACCTGCAGGTCCCTGGGAAGAACAACCCCTTGCTTGTTTACAGCCCTGAGTGTTTTGCACCTACATTTCCCATGTGATAGGGACTGAGCTATTTAAGGTTGGTAGAATGATAAGTTGAAACATACCTAGTCGAGTAACCAAGCTAGGGGCTCTTCCTATGAAAATCTGATGAATAGTTAGAAAAATGAATAGAAATTTAAAATGTAAAGACTGTTTTATGGAGGTAGAATTGCTGTGAAAGATTCATCAGGATGGAATTAGCCTGAAGGCTGATTTTTCAAAGCTCAAAAGAGGGTAAGACCATCTCTACCCAGGGTAAAATGCAAAGTAATCAGAGTACAGTCTTCTTGGAGGACAGATGAGGAATACAATGCATACTCATCCAAGCACTGCCAACAGCAGGGAAGGAGGTAGCTGAGTGGCCTACATGAAGGCAGAGCTTCAGTCTCCCTATTTGTCAAACCATCTCAACTTACTATAAGATAAAAAGAGATGGAGAATGTACAGCAGCCAGCGTAGTGCTCAAGACAGCCATTACTTCAAACCTGTTGGTTTCTTTCCCTTTTTCTCCTACGTTGATGTTTTCTTCCCTGGATGTATGTTAACATCACTTGCAAAACTTTTAAAAATATAGTGACCTCTGGACTTCAGTCCTCACAGTTTAATAAGAATTTCTGCATCTGTCCTTGTTAAAATTTTCCTATGAAATAGATTGTGACATGCAGTGAAGCTGAGAATCCCTGCACTACACCATCTGCACTTCACCATCTCTAGAATCTGTCAATTCTGAGATCAGCTTAATTGGCTTCCTGAATGCCACAGTTTCTAATCCCAGTCTTCCACATTATTTCACAGAATAACTTTTGTTTGTTTTACATCTGATCTCGCAATGAACACTTTCTACATATCCAAGTGGTACCATTATGAAAGAGTACAATTCTTAGGTACAGAATTGTTGTTTTATTATCTCTTATCTTTATTAACGCTGCTAAAGTTACTAGCATTATATACAAAAAACCAAGAACTTACACTCAACTCCCTGACTCCAAGCCAATCAACAGATACCACTTCTTTTAAAACAGCAAAGTGATTTATCACTAGGGATGAAGTAGGAGTCAAATCCACTTCAGAGGGCTGCAGGAGGCAGATGCACCAAGAAGAAAGAATGTAGTGATATGAAGAAAACATAATGATGTACCTATTAACTGTGGTGGCTCTGAAAGAAAGAAGCTACAGACTCAAAGTGGCACATTGTAAAGGTGCTGAAGATGAATCAGGCCCTTTGGAGTCAAACTGGAAGGAAATGAAAGACTCCAAGGCACCGAGAAGATACTTATCATCAGATGCACGGTGTCTGGGTCTTGCCACGACTTGATCACTGAGTAGCACACTGCCTGCTGCTCTTCCGATTCCTAGTCTATTATCCATTCACAGTATCATACCCATAGTTCCTCTTTTGCAGAGATCAAAGATAGCTGAATCGGCAGACAATGGACAGGAACACCTATTGTGTGCAATGTCTTTGCATCCTTCATCACCTGAGAGCTCTGGCTGTGTGAAGATACTGTTTTTTTTTTTGTGTTTGTGCAATTTTGTCACAAATCATTTCCCTATGACTTTCTGGAGTCTGTGGTAAGTAGGACGTGAGAAAATATTCCATGCTGAACTGGCTCAGTGTGATATATCATATTTACAGTGGTAACACTGACTTTCCTACATATTTCCTGATATAGTCTTTGTTATTAAATCTTAGTTACTATCTAGTACCTGGATCCATCTAAGAGAGAAAGAGAAATGCATACAATTATTACAGACTCACTTCTGCTACTTGATTTTTCATTCACCAAATATTAACAAGCAATCGTGTTCAAAGTTTGTCCTAGGAAGTGCAAGGACACAAGATGCTTTATTCTCATTCTCAAGGAGCTTGAAGTAGTAAGGGAAGAGGTAATGAATATTCATTAAATATCTATTATGGGGCATTAGGGTATTGCTTTGCATATATTACATATTTTCAGTCCACTCAAGAGGTACTTTTTGCAGATTTTCCATAAGAGGAAATTGAAGCACAGAAAGATTAAATCAACTGTTACGGACTGAACTGTGTTCTATCAAAAGTCATAGTTGAAGTCCCAACCCTCGAATACTTCAGAATGTGACTATATTTGGAAACAGGGCCTTTAAAAGAGAAATTCAGTCAAAAAGAGGTCTTAAGGGTGGGACTTCATCCAATCCAACGGGTGTTCTCATAAAAAGAGAAAATTGGGACACAGACATGTAAGGACACCAAGAGAAGACACAGGAAAAAGTGGCCATCTGCAAGCCAGAGAGGGATCTCAGAAGAAAACAAGCTGGCCAACAACTTATCTTGAACTTTCAGACTCTAGAAATGTGAGAATATAAATTTCTGTTGTTTAAAATGCCTAGGTTGTGGTATTTTGTTTTAGTAGTGCTGGCATATTAATAGCAACATACTCAGGGCTATACAGCCAGCAAACAGAAGAAAGGATTTTCAGTGGAGTTCAATAACTGTTTGCCTCACAAATACAGAAAATGGAACATGAGAACAGATAATTATATGATAAGAGTAAAGGTCCAGATAAACTAATATGACAGTTCAAAGGAGGGCAAGAGCTCTCCTGCCTGGGAGGTGATAAGCCAGTGAGAAGGTAACATGTTAACTGCAGACTATGGTGTGATTAGGATTTTGGTAGTCCAGGCATAGAAAGGCACAAAGGCACAGTGACAAGGGCATGACACACTTATATGGGTAATATACTCAGCATCACTTCTGTCTTAAGTGAAATTTTAATAAGGATAATAATTATGATGAGATCAACATCATCATCTTCTAGCATTTATTGAGGCTCCTCTAGCTTACTATGTGCCAGGGATTGTGCTAAGAGTTCTATATGGATTCTTTTTTGGTCTTCTTAGTATCATAAGGTAAGTAATAAGATAATAATATCCTGGTTTGAGTGAAGAAACTGAGGCTACAAAAAGTAAAGGAGGCTATTTAACATGTTTGGAGTCACACAGCTAG